ACATGGTGCGTGAATGGGCACAAAGAGCATTATGCCTGTTGGGCAATGCCAATGTAGCTATTTCCGTTGAACGGTGTAAAGCCATGTTATATAAAATTGACGCCAAATTGGCAGAACTAGGCACCAAAGAACTTGTTCCAAAGACTAACGGACTGTTATTTGGGGACAGGTTCATACGGGACCTGAATAAACGCGTATCCGTGTTTACCTCCCTTAACAAGGCACAATGGAACCTTCGCAGGGTGTTCAGACCCCAGCGTTTTTCCTGGAGAGCTGGTTGCTACAGGGGCCGAACGACTGGTAGAGCTGCCTTCACAGGCTACAGGCCTCAACCAGCAGACTCATGGAATTCGGGCAATACCCGTTTCTACCACAAGCAGTTCTTTCCCTCTAGACGTTCAATCAGAGGACGTGGATATGCTTCCCTCCGGGGCCGCACTGCTTCAGGTAATCAACTTTCCTTATTCTCAAGTTCCTATTGCAGGCCGGTTAACCCTTTTTTTTCCCAACAGTGGTGTCTATTAACTCAGGATCCATGGATCCTTCAAACTGTATCTGGTTTCCAAATAGATTTTGCAAACGACCCTCTACAGGAGTCTCACCCTCCACCTCTGCACATGTCTCAAGAGGAAAATGCGACCTTGGAGGCCGCGCTAAACGACCTTGTCACCAAGGGCGCTATAGAACGTTCTCGGTCCTCTCACAGATTCATAAGCAACATATTTCTGGTCCGAAAACAGTCAGGAGACTTTCAACCAGTTATCAACCTGAAAGACCTAAACAATTTTATTGTTTACCAACATTTCAAAATGGAGGGTATCCACCTCCTTCAAGACCTACTCTGCGAGGGAGACTGGTTCTCTCATTTGGACTTGACAGATGCTTACCTCACGGTTCCTATAACACCGGCCCATCGCTGTTTCCTACAGTTCAGATGGCATCAAGACTTATGGCAGTTCACATGCCTCCCCTTCGGACTCTGTTCCGCACCTTGGTGTTTCACCAAGCTGATGAAACCGGTCATGGCCTTGTTATGCTCTCAGGGGATTCGCTCCATCATATATCTGGACGATATCCTCCTTATGGCTCAGGACCCAGGCACTCTACGCCTCCATACAGACATGACCACAGCTCTGTTAAAAAACTTGGGGTTCGTGATCAATGTCCAAAAATCCGTTCTCACCCCGTCTCAGATGGTTCAATTCCTTGGATTCCAAATAGATTCCGTTTTGGCTATCCTACAACTATCTTCAGTAAAGATCAAGAACATCAAAAAAGACATCAGAAAAATTCTAGCCTATTTGACTATCCGTCTTTGCAACTTAGCTCGCATATTCGGACTACTCTCCGCCTCGATACAGGCAATCTTCCCAGCTCCTTTACATTACCTAGCAATGCAACATCTGAAGACTCGCTCTTTACGCCACTCTGCATCTTATGATCAACAGATCTCCTTGATAGACAAAGTCCGACTCGAACTGAACTGGTGGCTACACAATATGGATGCATGGAACGGGAGAGCGATCCTCAGCTCACAGCCAGATTACATCCTAGAATCAGATGCCAGTCTTCTGGGCTGGCGTGCATCATGCGCAAATCTCTCTACTGGAGGTCCTTGGTCCCCATCAGAACGGGCATTGCACATCAATTGCCTCAAGTTGATTGCCGGTTCCTTTGCGATTCGCAGTTTTGCAAAGGACTCTTACAATTGTTCCCTAGTGCTGAGAATGGACAACATCTCAGCTGTTCAATACGTGAATCGTTTGGTGGGATCCCATTCCAAAATGTTCTCAGACCTCACAAAAGAATTATATCAATTTTGTCTGGACAGGAACATCTCCCTTCGAGCGGAGTATCTACCTGGTTCCGGCAACTTACTCGCAGATTGGTTCTCTCGGCACTGGAGAGACTCCAGCGACTGGCAATTGGACCCACACGTTTTTTACCATCTCCATCTTCTTCAGGGTCCATTCAACCTCGACCTATTTGCGTCTCGTCTGAATCGACAGACGGACGCTTTTTTTAGTTGGTTGCTGGATCCAACCTCTCTGGCAGTAGACGCCTTCTTCAATCTTGGCCAATGACCGGAGCTTATGCCTTCCCTCAGTTCTCCATAATCCTTCACACTCTTCATCATCTCAGGACTCAGGGGACCACAATAACACTGCTGATCTCTTTGTGGCGTACCCAACCATGGCTCCCCAATCTCTTGGAGATGTCGGTGAATTATCCACTACTGCTACCTGCCACACATGATCTTCTCAAAGATCCTGCAGGCATCTTTCACCCTCTCGCGTTGCAGGGTCATCTCCAACTAGTGGCATGGACTGTTTCAGGGGATCCTGGAATGTCGCAGGACTTTTGGAGACTGCTAGAGAACTCTTATGGGACTCATGGGCCCCCGGGACTAGACGCTCTTACCTCTCAGCCTGGCAAGTTTGGCATTGCTGGTGCTTAAAAAGGGGTATTGATCCCGTTTCAGCTTCTTTGATTAACGTTATGAACTTTCTGTCCTCTCTTTTTGATGAAGGTAAATCCTACAGATCCATTAATGTGTTTCGTTCAGCAATTTCGGCAGCTCATGGCCCCATTGACAATACAGCAATAGGTAAACACCCCTCCATCTGAAGACTGTTGCGTGGCATTCGTCTTGCTCGACCTCCTCTCCCAAAATATTCTAATATTTGGGATTTTGCTCTTGTTTTGTCCTTCCTGGAGACTTGGCCACCCAACGAAGCACTCTCTCTCCGACTACTGTCAGCCAAATTAGCTCTTCTTCTCTGCTTAGTTTCTTTTAGAAGAGTGTCTGATATTCAGGCATTTGACTTTCACGCTATTGATTCCACCCCCCAAGGTGTACGTTTCAACATTTCTCGCCGCACTAAAACTAATTCCTTAACGATTACTTACCCTTACTTTTTAGACAGACCGTCTCTCTGCGTTGCTCGTTGTGTCCAACATTACGTCGCCTCTACATCACCTCTACATACCCCTACGGGCCCCTTGTTTATCTCATATGTGCGACCACACAAGCCAGTGTGTCCCACGATTGTCCCACGATTGCCCGCTGGATTAAATGGCTTCTCGATTTGGCGGGCATAGATTCCTCTTTTGGAGCTCATTCTGTCAGAGGTGCTGCTGCCTCTTCTGCCTTTATGGCTGGGGGATCCCTTGCAGACATCCCAAAATGCGCTGATTGGTCTAGAGAATCTACCTTCCGTACCTTTTATTTTCGACAATCGTCCCATGCTTCTTTCTCTTTGGTTTCCACGCTTTAAAACAGCAAATATGAAGCCTCCTGTCTTGCCATAAAATTCGGGATTATTCTAGCTTTAGTGACTGAATAATCAAAATTTTATTAAAGACAGGAGGCGAATATTTTCCCACCCTATTAGTATCCCACCCCAGATTTTAGTTTTCAGGTCACATATACTCTTAATTTTTTCTAAGTTTCTTGTGAGACTTTATATTAATCTGGCTGTTTTTCTGTTTGCTCTGGTTAGGTGCTTATTAATCTGCCTGGTTCTGACTATTTTAGATTTGCAATAGTTTATAATCGTAATATCCAGGGGGTAGATCTGTGTATATAGATATCTTGCGGACGCCCAGTCCAAGTGACCATACTTTCACGATCTTTCTCTGTCTTTTAGTGTGAAGTTTCTCTGCATGAGCCACGAAGACTACGTTCCATTGGTCTCTAGTTTCGGCTGCGTTCTGGTTTACATGGTTGATGGATCACTCAAGTTTACACGGTTGACTACACTTATGATCGGCTGCATTTGGGAGGAGCCTGACAGACTGTTATTTTCTAATATGTGTCCTGATTGGTTGATTTTTTTTCTCTATATGTTTAAAGGACCACTATAGTGCCAGGAAAACATACTTGTTTTCCTGGCACTATAGTGCCCTGAGGGTGCCCAAACCCTCAGGGTCCCCCTCCCGCCGGGCTCTAGGGTGAGGAAGGGGTTAAACTTACCTCTTTCTCCAGCGCCTGGCAGGGAGCTCTCCTCCTCTCCTCCTCCTCGGCTGAATGCAAGATGGAAAGAATACAACAGTTACAAGCCACAAGGATTACCAGAGACATTGCCGAGAGACGTTATAGCTAAACTCCTCATGTACTCATTTAACAAAAAAATTAATATCTGTTAACAGAGAAGCCCATTAACAAATCCCAAATTCAAAAATGTTGTATTATTACAAGACCTATCTTTTCAAATAAGATCTTAAGATCTTGAAGAAGATCTTTTTTAACAGTAATCCCCTCTGAAGTAACACAATATAAAATTTAGATGGGATTTCCTGACATTTTCCAACATTTTTTGGAAGGGACAGATTGAAAACTTTGAGTCCTTAGAAAAAGTGGTTGTTTTGTTGAAACACTTGAAGTCATGAGAGGGTGAGTTTTCCCCTTTTCTTTGTCTTTTATTATGTTAAAATTCTTTACATGTGATGAGATACTTTAGTGGGATATTGATATCTTGCCATAAGTAAAAAGCTGAATAAGCTGGGCCTTTAATATTAACCTGAGCACATGATTGAATAAATATTAACCAACTTTTCTTTTATGTATAATTATATAAGATTACATAACCCATCTCTTTGTTTCCCATCTGACATCTTTCTCTGTATCTTTTCTGTTTAAATACATGTTATTATACAGTGTAGTGATTTTGTATATCATTATGTATTGTCCTGTCTTGTCATGCTTTTATATTCTTTTTTGTATGTACGATATAAATGTTTTTATGCAATAAAAAAGAAAATAAAGCAAAAAAAGGTAAAAATAATCCTTCATCAGAGAGCAGTCGCATGTCTGCAGTGCTCTGGGCCAAAATCGGCAAAACTCGATAACTACCCTAAAAGATCAGCAGTGCCCTACCAATACCTCTCCAACCCATTTACTCCACACTATGGGAAAACGAACCAAAAAACTAAAAGCCCACTCAGACGAGGGCACAAGAAGAATAGGGGACATATTTCTGGCGCAGTCTAAAACCAAAATGGTGGCGACGCCTGAATCCGTAGGCCTATCCTCAGAGGAGGATCCACTGGATTCCCCAGACGCCATCCCCGAAGCAGATGACCCATTCTCGACCATACAAGTAGGTGACCTCGGGGCCCCTGCAACTAAAGGAGACATCCTGGGCCTCCTGAAACACCTGCATACCTGGTTCCGCACAGATATAGCGCTGCTTCGCGAGGAGGTCAAGGCCGTAACAAACAGAGTGAAGGCCACAGAAGAGGATATTTCCTCCATAGCACAACAACAAACGGGGGCAACGGAACAAATACGACAACTCCAAGGCTCACACCAGGCCTTGCAGGCCAGAGTGGATGCAATGGACGACACTAGGAGACGTACCAACATCAAGTCAGAGGCATTACAGAAACCGTTAATGACGGGGAGCTACCCCACTTTGTCCAGCGCCTTGTATCGGAGATTCTGTGTCCCAAGCAGGCAAAGATCCTACAAGTGGACAGAATACACAGACTCCCCAAGTCTCCCAGGGCACCGGCGGACGCACCCCGCGATGTCCTCCTCCGATTCCAGTCCCTCCAAGATAAACAGTCTGTAATGGAAGCCGTCAGGAACAAATGCCCGTTTCCATTTGAAGACTGCCAAATCACCTTCCTACAGGACCTCTGCAGGGCAACGCTGGAGTGGAGACGCTCAGTCAACCAGGTCACCAAGACGCTCCGAGAAGCAAGCGTCTAATACAGATGGGGCCCATCTCACACACTAGTGGCCACCCAGGGCGAGACCACCCACCGACTCACGTCAGCAGCTGATGCTGACTCTTTCCTCCGCAGTCTGGGACTAAACGGCCTCAAGAAGAAAGCTCCTACCTCTGGACACTCCTGGGACGTGCCCAACATAATCCCCTTCGTACCTCGCAATGAAGCTGACACAGGCTGAGACACCACAAGAGGGCCTGGACCTACCTTCACTCTCTCACAGGGGAGTATGCCGAGGGACTGGCAATCAATATTAATGCAGTTAATATTTGTAATTTACAGTTTGTTTGTTTGTTTTTTCAACATGTTTAACCAACATTATATTGTTTCTATAACTTGCATCTGATCCAACATTAGTCCTTAAGGACAGACAGACTGACTACATCCCCACCCCTCCCCTAGGCTCAAGAGTCACTACGGATAGCATCTCCTTTGTTCGGGTGAGAAGATCAATTGCTTCTTTAGCAGTAGGAAAGGATTTGAGCCCGTCGTCTATGTAAAAGTTTCTTTCGACAAATTGACTAGCGTCGGATCCATACTCAGCTTCTCCAAGCTGGGCTGTCCTTTTTAGTCCATAGATTGCTACAGCTGGGGAAGGGCTGTTCCCAAAGACATGCACCCTCATTCGGTAATCAATTACCTCTCTGTTGAGGTCATTGTCCTTGTGCCATAGGAACCTGAGGTAGTTTCTGTTGTCCTCCTTGACGATGAAGCGGTGGAACATTTGTTGAATGTACGCCATCACTGCAACAGGTTCTTGTCTAAAACGAATTAGGACTCCAATCAGGCTGTTGTTCAAGTTGGGCCCTGTTAGGAGCATGTTGTTAAGTGAGATGCCTTCATGTTGGGCACTGGAGTCAAAGACAACTCTGATTTGGTCTGGCTTTCATGGGTGATACACACCGAAGGAAGGGAGGTACCAGCATTCTTCTCCTTCTTTCAGTGGAGGTGTGGGTTCAGCATGACCTCTATCAAAGATATTCTGGATAAAGTCTACAAAATGTCTTTCCATCTCTGGTTTCCTGCTTAAAGAACGCTTTAAGGAGGAAAATCTTTTAATGGCTTGATGTAGATTGTTCGGTAGGTTCTCTCTCGGGAGGCGAAATGGTAGGGGTGCTACCCAACTGTTGGAATCATCCTGAAAGAAACCGTTGTCCATTACCTTAAGGAATTCTTTGTCTTCTACTGAAGGAGCTAACATGTTGTCTTCACTGCTTGTATTGAAAACTGTAGAGCCAAACCTGTCATCGTATGTGCGGGAAAGGTTTGTGTTGTCATGTTGCAACTTGCAGCTAGTTACCTTCTCCTTTACCCAGTAGTGATGTGGGCATGGCTCAAAGTGAGTATTACGACCATTCGGCAATACGTTTGTCTTGAATGAAGAAGTAGGCCTTTTCATTTTGCCTATACAGACATTACCTATGATGACCCAGCCTAAGTCTAGGTACTGGGCAAATGGAGCATCTGGGGGTCCGCTGACCTGCCTGTGCACCTTGTGGACCCTTAGAATATCTCTTCCCAGCTGAAGAAGGATTTTAGCATCTTTGTCAAGTGGTGGGATTTCACTTGCTATTGACTTTAGGTGAGGGTGGAAGAAGGCAACTTCTGGTGTAGGTATTTCTTCTTTGTTGGCTGGTATCTGGTTGCACTCTACAAGTGTAGGTAAGGGTAATTGTAAGTTATCTCTTAGAGAGGACACAATAAATCCATGTGCCCTTCTTCCAAAGACCTCTGTAGTGCCGCTTCAAGTGCCTAAGGTGTAAGGATGAACCTCTCCTCTTATGCAAAATAGATCAAACAGTTCAGATCGGGCAAGTGATCGATTGCTTTGATCATCTAAGATAGCATACACCTTTAAAGTCTTTTCTGGTTGATCCTTGTGGTGAACATTCACTAGGCATATTTTAGCACAAGACTTGTCACGGTGGTCTTCCCCACACACTTCCGTGCATGAAGAAAATATCATGGTGGGATTAGCCACCTGATCTGTAATTTTCCCGTCGTGATTTGGCTTGGGAGAAAGGTTTGCAAGTAGTGAAGGATTGGACTCAAGTGGATGGAGAGCTTGCACGTGGTCCTCGGAACCGCACTCTATGCACTTGATAGGGATTTTACATTCCTTGGCAAAGTGATCAGTGGAAGCACAGCACCTATAACATACCCCAAAGGTCTTTAGGAGTTCCTTTCATTCTTGTAGGGGCTTCTTCCTAAAGCCGTTAAATTTTTTGAGGGGATGTGGCTTCTTGTGGATAGGACATAATCGGTTTGGGTTTTCGATCTTGCCGCTCTTGTTTGAGGCGGGAGCTGAGGTGGGAGCGGGAATAATGTCTGTCTTCTTAACAGACACGGGACCTCTATGGTTCCTGTAGCTTATATGTAGCTTGTCACCTTTCAGTGAGGGAGTACTGAACTCACCAAATGCAAAACTAGGATCATTCTTGGTGTCAGCAATGTTCCTGACAAATTCGCAGAAGTAGGAGAAAGGGGGAAATGAAACCTTGTTTTCCCGTTTGTATTTTGACCCAATTTGGATCCACTTTTCTCGTAGGCCAAATGGAAGCTTGTAAATGATAGGGTTAACTCCTCGAGCAGTGTCCAGGTAACTGAGGCCCGGTAGTTTAGGGTCAGTTTTGGCAAGCTGGACTTCGAGAAGAAGGTCACTGAGTCTCTGGAACTCTTTATTGTCCTTACCGGATATCGTTGGGAAATTTTCCAATCGTTTGAGCAATGCATTCTCTATGGCTTCAGGACTGCCATAACTCTGTTCTAGACGCTCCCATGCAGCGGTGAGACCTGCAGTTGGATTGTCGATGTAGAGTGACCTGAGGCTCTTGACACGTTCCGTAGATTGTGGGCCAAGCCACCTGATCAGCAGATCCAGCTCATCAGCAGCAGTAATACCAAGATCACCTATAGTAGTTTTAAAGGCGGCTTTCCAGCTTCTGTAATTTTCGGGACGGTCATCGAAGCTTACTAGGCCTGTCTTGGTGAGCTCTCGTCGAAGTATATACTTTACGAACTCTGCTGTATCAGTTGCCTCTGACTTTACGTAGGAGGTCACTGGTTGAATGTTGCGGATTGCGTTGTTTATGGTATTGTTGTGAAAAGACTTCGGAAGATATGGTGCAACAAGGGGGTTCAGCTGAGTTGTTGGGTTAAAGTCTGGAACGGTACTATTAGCAGGAGGTTTGTGACTTGCTTGCAGATTGGCGTGCAATTCTGTGACATATGCAGAATCAGCATGACAGTCAGGCGCTGCGCTGGTTTTGCATGTAGTAAGTTGCTGGAACAGCTTTTGCCTGGTGGTGTGGTGAAGTCCTTGCGTTGTCGTGCAGAATGGAGGCAATTGAGCGCTCGCTGCTGTGGTTTAGAACATAGTTCTTAGTGCGTTCGAATGGATCTTCCACATCTGCCTTGACGCTGACCCTTTCACTAGCATTTTCATCTGCACCGATAGCTTGTTCCAAAATCTTTAGTCTTGCTTCAGCTGCCTCGTAGTTGCTCTGTTCCTTTAAAGCTTCAATTGCTGCCCTTTGACGTGCTGCTTCAGTTTCCATTTCTGCTCTCTTTTTAGCATACGCAGCCAGTACTTTGCTAGCCTCTGCTTCGGCACGGGCATTTATAAGCTGTTCACTAAGCGTTGAGTGCCTTGAACTTCGGGATCTAGAGGAACTTTTAGAATGTCTGGTGGATATGGATCTGTGAGATACAGTGTCCTGTGGCTGCGTTAATTTTGCTTCTGCCTTTGCTTTAGTTAGCAGGATAAAGCTTTCTCTTTCCATGTTAAGAAGCTGGACATTGTTAAGTTGCTCTAATGATTCCTCAGTGTTAATGTTTTGCAGAATAGTTATATATTTATTGCTTGTAGTCTGGTACAGTTCATATGAAGCAGAGAGATGTTTTATGGCGCCCTGTAGTTGCAGTACCTCATGGCTGGGACATGAAATCACATCAATGTAGGTGAGGATTTTATCCCAAATCTGCTTCAAACTGGTTGCTAGTTCAGTTTTCATGGATTCATAGTTCTCTTTAACCTTCCAAGTGGGTTTCACAGAGCGTTTAGCCAATGCACTGGGCTCTGGGTCCTCATCCTGGCTTTCTCCATGTGGTGCATGCTGTGGTGTTTCACATACTGAGCCCTTTCTACTCATGATGGCCTGAGGTACACATTCCTGGCTGTAGCAGTGAAGTGTGTCTGTATACTGTGTGGGGCTGTAACAAGCTGTGCTGGGGTTGAATGCAGACTTCTCATACAATACACACAGTTACACTTCGCTATGATCTGTCCTGTGACACAGCAATCTCTGAACAAGCTGCTGGATATGTTCTTTTACTATTCTGGACCAGCTGCAGAGGCTATGAATGTGTTTTTTCAGGAGCACATGGCGCTCATTGCCCTGATGAGATTATCCATACCAAATCACCTTCCCAGATAGTTTACTCAGTCACAACTCACATGTAAGAAGATCTGACGGTGTTTATTCGTCATAAGATCTGTAGAATGTGCAGTTACGACAGGTAAAATAACAATTCTTCCATACAGGATAGCAGAGAAACAAGTCACATACGAATGTACAGCATAGAATGCACTAGAACAGAAAAAAGGGGAGGGGAATACCTGGAGCAGCATGCAAACTATGGAATGGCCCAAGGGACAAACTTAAGATGAACATTAAAGAAACAGTACATTATAATAAAACAATATCATGTAACATGACACTCCCCACACAGAAACGCAGAGCCAGCGACCGGCCACCAGGAATGCGTCCCTTCCCAGCGCTGCTGCATGTCTTAATTCTCAACAGAGAACCCCCCACATCTCAGGGCACAACAGACACATCAACGTTCCAACGACCACCTCACTCTAGATCTCCCAGGAGAAGGCACCTGCCCCCCCATGATTTTAAACTAAACATATAGGCATAACATGACTTACTAACTCTAAAAATATAAAAAATGTATGCACACACTGTCAATGATATGATATTGTCATAACATGTCTGCAACTGCAAAGTCTGCTCCGCTGTCGTGGCGAGACAGTCTTATTCTGTATATTCTTTGTGCAACAAAAATAAAGAATTAAAAAAAATAAAAATAATCCTTCATAAGGATCCTTCGACATTGCTCAAAAATATGTGACCTTGGGGGTGAATGCTATCTATTCTGACATTGTTCAGCAGACTATTAATTAAAACAAAACCAAAACATAATAACTCATTAGTGTGTTAAATATACATATATATTTATTACAGTGCAACAACCATGTGAGCAAATTCTTTTTTTGTTATTTTCCATTTTGAATACACCACATACATTATCTTCAAAAAATTAAAATATGTTGTAGGTTTTCTTTTAAACATGTTGTATACTGCACGTTTAAAAGCTATACATTATCTATATTTTGGAAACTTGATTAGAAAATCTAGCTGATTTTAATGGAAAACCAAGGTTCACTATGGCAAAGTTTCATACTAATGGTGGCTTCTCGGGTTAGGTGGTTCTGTTGGGAAGTCAAAATAGCAAATTAGAAATCAAGATAGGTTTTTCTGAGCAAAAATTAAATATACATAATTATTGAATTTCAGGCTTCTAAATAAGAGATGCATGATGTTTATATTACATAAACTTCTTGATGAGCAAGTAAAAGTTTGAATGGATGATATGAATGTACTACAATTCAATGGCCATCAAAGTATCTCTTTGCAAAGTCATGTAATGCTTTTCTGAGGGCCTGTTTCACATCATTATTTCTCAAACTGTATATTATTGGATTGCACATTGGAACTATCTGCACAAAGAGAACAGATGTTGCTTTACTTTGACTGAGTTGATATGATGAAGGTGGTCTCATATACAAACAGAATATTACCGTATAGAATAAGATAACAATTGAGAGATGAGAGGAGCAGGTAGAGAAGGCTTTGTGTCTTCCTTCTGATGTGCGAATTGTCAGAATGGTGGAGATTATAAAGCAATATGAAGCAAGGGTGAGCAAGAAGCAGGTCAGAACGAGAAGCACACCTTCTGAAAACATAATCATTTGGATGAAAGTTGTGTCGCTGCATGAGAGCTTGAGCAAGGGCATCATGTCACAGAATACATGGTTGACTTCATTCAAGGAACAAAAGTCCAAGCTGGAAATGAAGATAATCAATGGAATGGAACCTACAAAGCCAATCACCCAGGCACCAACAGCCATCCTGCAAGATGAATTCTTATTAAAAATGAGGGGATAATGCAAGGGCTTGCAAATAGCCACAAAGCGATCATAAGCCATGACTGTGAGCAGGACATACTCAACACTGGCAAAAGCCATGAAGAAATAGAGTTGTGTCATGCACCCAATAATAGATATTCTTTTATTTCCTGTGATAAAGATGTTTAACAGGTTTGGCGCTATGACTGAGGTGAAGGATATATCCAAAGAAGCCAAGTTGCACAAAAAGAAATACATAGGCATGTGGCGGTGATGATTAAAGCAAATAATGAAAATAATTATTACATTTCCAAGAAGAGTAATAACATACATGAGTAAAAATAGCAAGAATAGAGGAATCCTGAGCTGGGGGACATCGGAGAACCCAGTGATATAAAATTCAGTCACTCTTGATTTATTTTCCATCCCTCATTGTCTTTGCTTACACTATGTAAAAAGGGAAAAAGTAATCTGCAACTAATAATAAAGATGTATTCTGGAAACTCCGAAGAAGATGTCATCATCAGCATGCTATAATAAGCCGAGAAGAAGAAAAAGAAGGTGAATGTGACCATTGTATCAATTTGTTATAAACAAGGTTTGCTGAAAAACGACTGTAGAGAACTATAACTATTTTATCTAATTGAATTGGTTTTGGTGACTGCCAGTGGCGTACATACCAGGGTCGCAGGGGTCGCAGCTGCGACCGGGCCCGGCCCACCAGGGGGCCCGGCCGCCCCTGCGACCCGGTATGTACGCCCAGGGCCAGCCTCTTCCCCTGGGGGGCCCAGGAGCCGACCAACCCAGGGCCACCAGAGGCTGGCCCTGCTGTCACCGGGCAGACGGGTGGCCGGTCGGGCAGGCGGGCGCGCGAGGGAGCACTCAGTGCTTCCTCTTCAGCTCCCTCGCGCACCGCACTGATACCGGAGCCGGAAGATGACGTCATCTTCCGGTGCCGGTATCCCTAAGCGGCGCGCGAGGGAGCTGAAGAGGAAGCACTGAGTGCTCCCTCGCGTGCCCGCCTGCCCAGACAGACAGACAGCCCGCCCACCCAGTGAACTGCCGCCCAGGAGCCCAGCAGCAGCACCACTGGACCCCAGGGAATCCCCCCAGCACTCCAATAGGTAAGGAGGCTGGGGGGATTAAATTTAAAAAATAAAAATGTGTTAGTGTGTGTGTGTGTTAGTGTATGTGTGTCTTAGTATGTGTGTGTGTGTGTGTGTTAGTGTATGTGTGTGTTAGTGTGTGTGTATGTGTGTGTTAGTGTATGAGTGTGTGTGTGTTAGTGTGTGTGTGTGTGTTAGTGTATTAGTGTATGTGTGTGTTAGTGTATGTGTGTGTTTTAGTGTGTATGTTAGTGCGTGTGTTAGTGTGTGTGTCAGTGAGTGTGTCTGTTATTGGGTGTGTGTCTGCTAGTGAGTGTGTTACTGTGTGTGTCTGTTACTGAGTGTGTGTTTGTCAGTGAAAGTGTATGTTTTGTAAGTGAGTGTGTATGCGTCTGTTCGTGAGAGTGTGTGTGTGTCTCTTCAGCATTTACCTTTCTCC